TCAAAGCCAAGCCCCATGCCCTCAAATCCTAGCAGGCATAAGTATAGCCACTAGTTATCTTGGCATGCCAGCAGCCTTGGGATTTTTGAGCTCTCCTTACCCCCCACTTTTGTTTCATTTTGATACATCTTCTAATAACCAAGTTTTTCTCCTCTCCCCTTTAGGTCATCGAACTCCAAACGGTCATGCAACCAGAACCTCAGACGATGGCTCCCTTTTACTAGGGACCCGTAGATAGGCCTCTGAGGGAGATCTGACTGCCATCTTCCCAAAATAGTGCCCCTTGTCAGCAGGAAGCAGTTAAGATCTGTCTTTGTCCGTATTCTAATGGCAGTTAGATGTACCTCTTTGGAGAAGGAATGATAGAGGCAAGAGGCAGACAGAGAAGGGTCCCTGGAGAATCTTTGACCTGCCCCACAACTGTTTACGCCCGTTGTTTTGTACAGATAAGGGAACCTGCACAGGGTGCTTGCCTGCATGCCTGCAATGGACTGGAGGCCCACATGCTCTGGGGAAATGGGGTGGAGTCACCAGGAATTAACACCTTATGCAAGGAGGACCCCGGCCTCTTCAACTCATGTGTAGCGGTCCCGGTATTCAATTTGTGAGGTGGAAACCTGCTTGCAGGACCCCCCTCTCTCTGCTGAGAGCTTTATTTTTGCTTAATAAATTCTGTCCTCCTCACCTTTCAATGTGTCTATGTACCTAATTCTTTCTGGTCATGAGACAAGAACCCAGATTAGCTGAGCTAAGGAACAAAAAAAGAAAAAAAAAATGCTGCATCATTAGTGCTCTGAATAATTGTGTTTCTGGCAAATTTAAATCCATTAGGTACACTTAAGTTGAGAAAATTTGTTGGAAATATAGGAAATGCTCTGAAAAGGATTCCCCATGCTACCTCTTTGCAAATTATCTTTCTTGTTAACCAACCTGAAACTATTCAGAGAAGTCAGTGCAGAGAACAAAAAAGCAAGCACTTTTCTCAGTGGAGATAATAATCATCAATTAATCCTGGATTTAAAAAAGTTTTTAATATTATACCACTGACAAATAACTATTCAACTGGGGAAAAATATGGACCCATGTACCAGACTCAACAAGAAAGGACTCAGACCTTTGCAGGAAGGCAACACAATTCTAAAAGGTGCTCTCTGTCTCTAGGATGATTCTAGAATCATTTTTAAGGGTGGTAAAACCACCTTTGCAAAAATTATAACAGTGAGAGAAAATTATGGTAGTGAAGGAGGTCTGATCTGGCCAACCTCCATCTTGCCTTTGTCCTTCAAGCTGCCCTTAATTATTTCTGGGCTTTGCCCAGGCTAACTTTGGGAGACATTTAGTTGATAGTAAATAATAATAGCTCTTCTCTCTCCAAAGCTCAATCATCTTTGTAAAGTTAATGAGAGGGCACCAGGCTAGGAGGAAAGAGAAGACTGAATTCTGCTAAGGTATAGACATAAATGATTACCAGCCATTATTCTGGAGGTCACAAGATATGCAACTTCTCCAATTATTCTCGCAGATAACATCACTATTGTAGAACCTAAGATTGGCCTTTTGAGATGTCTTTTCAGGTTTTTTGTGCATCTGAGGAGACCAAAGTCTCCACGGGGACCCATCAACTGCTCCTGTGGCCCCATCCAGAAGCAACTTAGCACACATGAGGACCATTTCCCACCCACCTGTGATTACACCCCCAGTCAGTCAGAAGCAAGCACCCACTGCCTAGCTACCCCCACCCCTTCACACAAACTATTTTTGAAAAACTCTAGCCCCCACATTCTCAGGGAGATTGATTTGAGTAATAACTCCATTTCCCACGTGGTGTGACTGGCCTCATGTCTATTAAACTCTTTCTTTAATGCAATGCCATGGTCTTGTTTTATCTGTGCAGATGGTTACAACGGGGTGAAAGTATGAAGCAATTTCATTTTGTCATGATTTTTTTTTTATCTTGAGGGAAATACTTGACACACTAATGAAAAAATATTACCTGAAATGGTTGTCTTTATCTTATGATCTATACCACCTTACATCAGGCATTGTGGGGAAAAGGTTCAGGTCTCTTAGCCTCTTGGGAGAGCCCTGTGACTCAGTCTTGAGTCTGTTTCATTTATTATTAATAAACAGTTGCCACCTGTCCCTGAGGTAAAATATAATTGAGGAGAGAGGAAGCATAAGCAGATAAATAGTTTTGCTTGACCTAGTATGATACATAAGACACACGTACATACACACAACATACATACACAACATATACACACACATTTACAGGACATATCTACTAAATGTCTGTATTTAGACAGAACACAGTCTCTCTCTTCTTTCTTTCTTTCTTTTCTTTCTCTTTCACTGTCTCTCTCTTCCATCCCCAACCTCTCTATCACCTTTATGTGCATTAATTCCTTTCCAGTTTTTTCTCTCAGAATGAGAAGAGAAATGTAAACTACCTTTGAATTTCAGTACCATGCAAAGAAAACATGTAAAAATCAGCATACAATGCATCTTCAGATTCGCAATTAAAATTTAGTATTTGCTGCCACACAGATTGAAAGCGTTTGGGTGAGGGACTAACAAATAATGATGGTTTAAGTTCATGCTTTATTTTATCATAGAGAATAAAGTGATTTCATGAAAGAGTCACTGCTTAACCTACCACAGTTTACTGTCTTCAGACATCATTGCTTCTAACCACGAGATAGGGACATGAAATTTTTATGCCCAATCCCACAGAAATAACTGTTGTCTTTTTGCCTTTGGAGACTCCACATTGTTCTTCTTATGGATCAGCAGAACAGACTGCCTTATTGGACTAGACTACGAGCATGGAGGAAAATGTAATATGGCTGTATCACTAATCAGAAAAGGATATGGTAAAAATCTGCCTGTAGTAAAATGATATGGTATATTCAAACTCACTATATTGTAATAGCAAGAAGTATGCTTGAGATATTAATTGTGCTTACTCAATGTGGTATTTTTGATAAGAAAAAAAGAGCAATGATTGGACAAGAATTTTTTATTCCCTGGTAAAGGAAAAGATGCTTGTAGTTTATGATCCAGCATGTCATTCTCCTAGATATGAATTCTAGGAAAACTGTTATATTTGAGCACTTAGAGAATGTCCTTGCAATTATATATGTGACAGTAACTCACTGAATCCAAACATTCAGTCACACTATAGTGAATAAACAAAGTGAGGCTTATTCATACAGTAGAATACTTGAAATAAATGAATACATTATATGTTTACATAACCCAGTAACGATGTTGAGAGGAAAAAAAAAGTAAGTCACAGACTAATACATATAGTATTTTTCAATTTATGCAATGTTCAGAGACATGAAAAATATAACAATATATTTGGTGGGGATTCAAACGTGCAATGAAACGATATAGAAAAACAAAGAACTGGTGAGTTCAAATTCAAGGAAGACAAAAACACAGCACAAGGCAAAAGTACATAAAATCAGTCCTAACCCAACCACAATGGAAAAGTATATAAATGTTGACATCTGTAAATCACTTTCAGTGTGCCAGTCATATAACCAAGTTAGTAGCGTTCTACCTTACCAGAGGAGAACTGAAGGACTTTGAACTGTGAACTTTCCTAAGGAAGGTAACTCGAATTTCAGATTTAATGTATAAAAACTGAGGAGAACTAGAGGGTAGTCAGTGTTAGGATAGCCAAGGGAGCAGCTGGAAAGGCGCCCCACCCAGACTAGGAGTTCATGTAAGGATTTAGGAGCCTCTAACCTCAAGAAGGAATAGAGAATACATGGAGAATGTAGCCTGGGGAAGAGAGTGCTAGGCAGCTACAGGTAGGTGGTAAGTTTGGGAATATAAGATTTTCCTGCAGAGATCTGCAAAGATGATCTGACTGAAGTTATAAATTAGACTTGGACCCCAGCCCCCCTGCCATCACCATGTCCTGGCCACAGACAATGGAGATAGCACAGGGCAGGATTTAGAGTATCGGCTGTGGAGTTTGAGTGGTAGTAGAACTGAATCCTTGTCTGCCTCCAGAGCCATAGAGCAGCTCTCAATTTCTGTAAAATAGGAATGATGACATCTACTTCTCAGGGTTGATGGTTAACTGTTCAGTTGTTATCATTACTAACCTATCCCCTGCTTTGTAGCCAGTGTGATCATTCTAAAATACAACTCTTGCTTCTCCCCCACTTAAAACTCAGTGGTTTCCCATTGCACAGAACAAATACTCCAACTTCTTAACATGCCTTTCAAAGTCTTTTGGTGATCTGATCCCTGCTTCCCTCTCCAGTTTCATGCATCATGGCCCTTCAGCCACATTAGACCATCTCACTTCCCCAACACCCCATGTCTGCTCAGCTTTGCCTGGAACACATGTCTCCTCACCCTTCCTCACCAAAAAAATGCTACTCTTCAGAGCTCAGCTGGGCAATCTTCAATAGGAAACCTTGCATTTAATCAATATGTATATATGAGTGTGTGTATATATATATATAGTACACATATGTACATAGAGACATTATCAGTACATGTGAATTTATCTATATGATACTCTACCTTAGAATGTAAACTTCAAAATTGTTTTAATATATTCTGTATATCAACACGGTGTGCTTAATTATTGTTAAACAATAACACCAACTTACTGTTTCTTGAAAGCAATTTTTATAAATACGGTAGTTGTTTTAAGGTCTACTGGGAAATAACTTTGTTATATACACTTCTTTATTAAGTAGTTCATAGTTTAATACAAAATATACCCAATCATAAAACAGCATCAGACTAAGGATAACCGTCTTGCTATAAATCAGGGTAGACTCTAAGTTTTTCTAACTTAGAGTGAACAGTAGGCAATGCTAAAAATAAGATCACAGGGGAAGGATGCAAAATAATTACCAGTAAACTCAGGAATTGCTGTCGATCTGTATAATGTTCCTTTTTGTGTTTCAACTGTTTTCAACAGTGTGACAACCGAACCCTAGGATTGCAGCCAGAGGGGCTCCTCTTACCTCTGCATCAAAGCGCGGATCCTGGTAGGCATCACTGATGTTCACTGGGAGGCCTGTTGAAGCAACTAGCTCAGCAATGCTATTATTTATTAGCCAGTCGGAGTACGATGATTTCTCCATGCTTTCTTTGAAACTATCAGAGCACCAAGGTAGGCAGGAAGAAAAGAGAGAAACATAAGTTTCCTTGAAAGCAAACACTATAAATTACACTAATATCAGGATAATCTGTCCTTATTAAGAAGCAGTAAGTGACATTAGTCACAGATCAATAGCAAGGTAATTATCAGTGGCTACTTCGAAATGACTTACCTGCTATAATGTATAATAATTAAACCCATGGGCAGAAACCATAGATTCCCTATGATTCAGAGAGAAACTCTAGGTGGTATTTAGGTCCCAAAGCTGGCAATCATATGTAAGGACCAAAATTAACAATAAGATACCAACAACTAATAAAATTCCATCAAACTCCCAGCTTACCCTTTTTAATTGAATAGACTAGATGTTTTGGCACAAGGAAGAATGAAACCCAAATGGGGAAAAATCAGGAAGTAAATTGCGAGTTTAAAAAATTACAAATGCAGCAAAAGAACGTATCTAGACTATGGCCTTTTAATTAGTAATTATTTGAAAAACAATTTTACTATCTTAGTCATTATTTTAATAACAGTAATATTTTAATAACTATTTTAGTATCTTAGTTAACTATTTTGGTAATTTTAGATTATGTTTCTTAACAATAGCACATATCCCACTTACAAAATCTCACTTAAAAGCCTATTTTAATGCAACAGACCCTTAACATTAATAATTAAAACTATTTTCATATTTAATTTGAACAAGGAATTTTATGCTAAGTGATTTTTTTAACTTTCCCCTGTATCACTTTCATGACAGACCCTACATATACAGAAATGCTGTAAGAATTAGTTAATACCCCCCATTCTTCTCCTCCTTTCCATCTTTTCTTCCACAAGTATATATTGAGCACTGCCAGGAGCTGTGGAGATACAAAATTGAGAACTGCTCAAATTAGTATTGGCCAGGAAAATTTTCCTGGATGATGTCTGATTTGTGGCTTGGCAAGTGATAACTGAAATTATGTGAATGGATGCAAGCATACTAGGGCAAGGTTTTCAAGCTGACTTCTGTGGAACCCTGGATTTCATGAGATGTTAAATGAGTATACTACAGCAAGAATAATAATCACTCCATTGACTTTTTAATCTAAACTGCACTATATATAAGAAAACACTAAACATGCACGTTGTATTTGGTATTATGCAATAATGTCCCTGTGTGAAATTATGCCATGTTGAGAAGGCAGGAAACTGCATGGAAAGGCCATTGAATGCATGAGTGAGTTGGACACATGGACATTATTTATCATCATTAATATATCTCATCTGTAATGATTGCTGCCCTGTGTCTGATAAATTCAGCATGTATTTGTAAAGTTATTCATCCCTTATTGCATGTTAAACATTAATAATACATAAACTTTATTCTCTATGACTCTCTGGCTGAAAAATGGAAGTTTTAATAAAAAGTTGAGTCTCGTAGTTCTTAGATGGCACCTAAATCAAAGAAGTTAAAAGACTGAGTACTTCAAGGAGAAAAGGAAGCTTTATTTTCTAAAACAAAACAACAAAGAAGTTTTTATTTTCTCTTTGCTGTTTTATATACATTGCATTTCATGAGATGAAATTTTATGTTGTGCTGCAATGAAAGCAAAATCTAGGAAGAAACAAGATAATGCACCTCACACAAAGATCTAACTTAGTGAAGCCATTTCTAAGTTTATAAAAGGGTATGGGCTAAATTCTGACCTTTCTTTCAGGGATTAATTGGCTTGCCAGTTCATTCTGCACTGTGTACTTTATTCCACATTTTAATTATTGAGGTGTTCTGTGGTCACACCATTTCGAAGCTGCTGACCTAGAATGTTCTGTGGAGTGTGGGAAGCAGCGCTGCAGCAGGAGGTGGGGAGAAGTCTGGGCACAGAAGTCAAGGGAGGAACCTGAAAAATGGTTGGGTAGGGTGGTGCTCAAGGAAGGAGCCAGTTTTACCAATAAGTGCCAACAACCTTCAAGCTGGGTCTTTCAGGATGAGAAAGAGTTCAGCAAGGAGAGATTGGAGGAGTTAGAAGGAAGCAGCAGGAACAAAAGACACAAATGCAGCAGAGTACAAAGTGTGTTCTTGGCACAATGAGCAATCGTATGGTGGGAATAAAACTGAAAAAGAGGTCAAGGCTCAAAGGTGAGACCTTGACCAAGTTGCTGAGACCTTAGTTATAGGCAATGGAGAACTGTTTAAGAATATGGAGCAGGGAAGTGACCTGGTTTAAGATGTGATTTTAGAAAGCTTAATCCAGGTACAATGAGCATCAAGAACTGGGTAAGAGACACTGAAGGTGGGAAGAGGTCCTGTAAACCACAGAAGTCATGCAGGTGGGAGGCAATGGTGTTGGTGACTCAAGAGGTGTTGCAGAAGATTTCATAGGCTCTGTGGCCAGATAGCAGCGGCTTACATTTTGCTCCTGAGTGCCTGTGGCCCTATTAGCAGAACACAGTTGTTTTAAGGAGTGGGGAGATAGGGGAAAGATGATAGATATTCTGTAAGCCTGGGACATATTCATTTTTGAAAGTCCAGGAACAAAATCCTATCAGTAATCAGGACTGAAAACTCTAATCCAGAGTTAGGATAATTTTCAGGGAATATAAAATGCATGAGATCACTCAGGGACAGAACACATAGGGAAATCTATATCTAGGGAAGGGAAGGAGAAGAAAAGTAGTAATAAAAGGGGAGGGGAGAAAGAGAAGAAATTTTAAGGAGGAAAAACTTAAACTTATTGCCATCTACTGTGGGCCAACGGTCAGGTTAGATACTTTACCTGACTAATTTGTTTTGTCCTCAGATAAATCCTATGAGATGGATATGCTTCTCTATATTTTATAGATCAGAAAATGGAGACCTAGGATGCTCAATAACTTTCCCAAGTGGTGATAGAAGTTTCACCTAAATCTGACCCCAACATCCTAAATTATAGTATTTCTCCTGTTACCTTTCCAAAGGAGTTAATGGATAGCGTTATAGCAAGAATAGTGGGTTGTCACCTAAGAACAAATAGAGAAGGGCAGTCCACACCAGAGAGAGTTTAAGGAAGCTGCTAAAGATAGTAAACACTTCAGTCTGAGACTTCAGTCACAGGAAGGGGTAGGAAAAACCACTGGAGTTGATAATTGAGAGCTTTAGGTCCCTACTTACAGAATTCCAAAAGAAGATATGATGACAAAAACACTTACTGGACAGGGGTTCCTGAAAAACTCACTCTAAATCTAAAACATGCTTAGAATTTGGCTTGGTTCAGTATGCATACTGAATTGAAATCATTGTAAAATCAGTGAGCAGTGCAGAAGGAATATTGACTCTGTGCAAGGCACAGTTGAGGCGGTTTCTAAAGTATAAGCTATGATCTCTGCCCTCAGGGAGGTTGCTACTTGGCTGGGGAGATAAGAAATAAACACACTGACATTTAAACAATACAAAAATCAAATGCCCACTTCAAATTTCAAATGAAAAGAATTTCACATAGCTGTGTTGATACGTTGCCAAGTCAACTGTACCGATCACGAATGCTGAAGACGTCCATGGAGGGAGAAATGACTTCAGGTGTTGTAATCTAGCTAAGGCTTCAGAGAGGAGGTGAGATTCAAACTGACCTACAGGTCAGTGCAACAGTGCAAACAGATTTTCTGAAAATCATCTCTACATTTCTTCAGTTCAGTGTTGCACAGGGACATAAATTAAGGCCTGAGTGATCAGATCCTCAGAGAGACAGACAGGAAAGCTGATTTGTCACTTGGTATTTACACCACTGTCTTAGTCCATTCAGGCTGCTAGAGCAAAATACCATAAGTTGGGTGACTTATAAACAACAAATATTTATTTCTCACAGTTTTGAGACTGGGAAGACCAAGATCAAGGCACTGGCAGATTCAGTATCTAGTGCCTTCTTGCTTTAGTTCAGTGTCTAGTGCCTTCTTGTCCTCACATGGTAGAAAGAATGAGGGATCGCTCTGGGGCCTCTTTTATAAGGGCACTGATTCCATTCATAAGAGCTCCACCCCCATTACCTAATTACCTCCTCAAGGAGCACCCCTTCATACCCTCACATTAGGGACTGGGTTTCAACATATGTAGTTTTGGGCAGACACAAACATTCAGACCACAGTAATCACATTCTGGCTTACGTACCAGCTCAATTTTGGAATTCCTAATGGTCTACTATAATGCAGAATCATAACACTGAGTTAGAGCTTTCAAAAGCTTGCTTCTCTTCTTCACAAACAAAAGGTAATTTTATGTTATGATTAAGATCATGGGTTTTGGCATACCTCAATCAAATGTCCCCTTTGCTGCTTTCTAGCAAAATGATCTCAGGAAAACTTCATCGGTAACATGGGTTTAATACTACTACTGTGGAGATTACGGTGATAATTCATGCAAAGTGCTCAGCATATTATTTAACCCATAGCAAACATTTTCTAAAAGCATCACAACTTTTAAAGCAAATTCTGCACATGACATACCCCTTTATACATTTCAGTGATGTGATGTTGTGAGTTTAATCACAAAGGAAAGGGCCCAAATTATTTCCGCTTTTGGAAAGACACATCTAACTTTAAGGGTAAGCTCTTTCAAAAAGTTCCTACAGCTCATCACCTCCCCCTGATTTATGAGGGACCTTTTATTCAGTATGGTTTTCTCTTTTGCAGTTGGTTGCTGTTGGGACAGAACATGGTAAGATCACAGCCACAGCCACATGTAGTTGTGCAGGTTCCGCCTTGGACAGGGATGCTCTATAAAAGGGAGAAGTGGGGGTTGAAATTAGTCTAACTGTGCTTGTTTGCTTGAAGTTGTATCCACCTGGAGAGGGTACCTTTTTCTAATTCTCACAGAGACATTTGTATGGGCTTTCAATGGCCCTCCTTCAAGCTTTTCTTCAACACATCTGAAAATTGGGCATGTAATCTCTTTTTCTTTTTATCATACTTTAAGTTCTAGGGTACATGTGCACGATGTGCAGCTTTGTTACTTATGTATATATGTGCCATGTTGGTGTGCTGC